TCGATCTAACATCATGTGCTTGTGTTTTGTTTTTCAAGAAATTTGATGTGGCCCATGAGTCATGTGCTTGTGTTTTGTTTTTAAGAAATTTGTTGTGGCCCATGAGGGAGGGAGGGCGAGGGTGAGGGTGAGGGTGAGGGGGAGAGATCTAACATCATGCGCTGAGAGAGATCTAAGAAACAACTTCTGCAGATTAATGTAGAGGTTAAACACGCTAATAGAAACTAACACATGAAGGGAGTGAGGTTGAAAGTAACATAAGTTGCTTGATTATGTTCTGTTAGTAAGCATTGAAAGTTTGTAACTAAGCCAACTTAATCCATATGCCAATTGTCCTGATTAAAAGCTGTTAATTTGAAACTTTTGTTACCAATAAACAAGAACCAAAAATGAGACTAATGTGTCGAGATACGAATATTGCTTTTGCCATATGCTTATGCCCAAAGCACAAAAGTCTTTCTCCCCAAGCATGGTTAAATATAGCTATAATAAAGTCATGTTTTTCATTGACCTTGAGCATCCTCATGAAACCATTGGGACTTTCATGGTTTAGGTATTAAATAATGAAAGAAAAACAGGTATCAGAGAATCGATTTCCCGTTTCAAGTATTCATCCGGATGCTTTCATGTAGTATCAGTATCTTGAAAAATATGTAATCTCTTAGGACCATGTTTCGTTGTTTTTGGTTGAAGCTTTACTTTCACTAGTTATCTACATCACTAAAAATACTCATCTTGTTTTCGTCTTAGCCCTTGTTAAAATCAACTTGCACATGGCGGAAAAATTTCCTGGAGATTGTTCTACTCTTCTGATGTGCTTTCAAGTTGAATAACCCTTACGTGGCACCAAATTCTTATGGAAAAGAAATGACGGGGTTTATCATGAATCGCAGAGGGCTTCTTAGCATATAGGCACTAGGCAGTCTACCTTACCATGTTGGGCATGCAATACATGCTCATGCTACGAAAAGCAGCGCCAGATATCGTTGACTAATAATAGAGTGTGGAAGAAGAAAAAAATTGAGATGTGCTACAGGGAATTTACTCGGCACTGAGGCAAAACATAAAGCTAAATTTCCAAATAGAACATGCTTCTCATATAAATAGCTTTACTGATGCCATCTTTTCTACAAAAAAAATTTACTCTTGTTTATATTTGTCTTTCTTCAGTTTCAGGAGCTCTGGAAGAAAAGAGCGATGAGTATATGACTGAAACAAAAAACATTGAGGAAGCTATCATGTGGTATAAAAGGGTTCTTGGCTTCAGGACAGAAGGAGGTGAAGGTAAACTGGAACATATTCTGTTGAAGTTCATGTTCAGGATAATTTACTCAGCATTAAATTTTCCCTCTTATTTTACAGGGGTCAAATTCATCTTCAACAACATTGACCTGAAAAATGCAGATAAAGAGTATGCATTTACCATAAGGCTTGATGGCGATATATACAAGTGTATGTCCAAAATGTTTCTTAAGTTACGAGGTTGAGTTTAGTAGGTACCTTTTAAGAGTTTAAGTTATAAACCCCAACCCTCTACACTATGAAGTTTTCTGTAGTGGATGGGGCTTTAAGATGATAGAGTAATCCAGGTTCAAATCTGTCGAATAATATTAGGTAGTTAGTTCCTATTTTCTAGGAAGCTTATGTACAGAATTAAATTTGTTTAGATCTGTTTACTAGAATTAGTTAGGCTTTACTGTAATCTAGAGATTTGTTTAGTAGAATTAGTTAGGCTCTGTATTATAAATATACATTGTATTCCGATTATTCAAAATACAAAAGAGATTATTCTTTTTCTCTCTAAACTACATGGTATCAGAGACAGGTTTGTTTACCTGGAGATTTGAGAGACACCTTCCCTTCATTGTTCCTTCAGAATCTTTCTGAATAACCTTCCCTTCTCTTAAGTATTTTTTCGTATCCTTTCCTTTCTGGTTTAACCATTCTTTTCTCCTAATCGGGTAAATATACAATGTCTTCTTCTTCTGATGTTACTAGCCTACCTGTTCAAACCAATCTAGAGACAGGAAGCCACAATTCTCTCCAAATTACTGTTATTCGTTTGAATGGCAGAAATTTTCTTGAATGGGCCCAGTCTGTGAAACTTGCCATAGATGGCAGGGGTAAATTAGGTTTCTTAACAGGAGAAACAAAACCACCAGAGGAGAAGGATCCAGCTTTTCGTCGTTGGCGTTCAGATAATTCACTAATCACGACATGGCTACTCAATTCAATGGAGGAGTCCATTCGTCGTCCGTATATGTTCATGGAAGCCAAGGAAATATGGGAAGCTCTTAGAGAGACCTATTCAAATTTACACAGTTCTTCTCAAATCTTCGAATTAAAAAAGAAATTGTGGCTGTCCAAGCAGGGTGATAAAGATGCAACATCATACTACAATGAGATGCTTTCAATGTGGCAAGAATTGGATCTGTGCTACAATGACCAGTGGGAGAACCCTCGGGATTTGGCTAGATTTCGCTTAAGAGAGGAGAATGATCGTGTCTTTATGTTTTTGGCAGGAATTAACCATGAATTTGATGAGATTAAGGGGCGTCTTCTAGGCAGAACACCTCTGCCTTCCATTAGGGAAGTCTTCTCTGCAATTCGCCAGGAAGAAGGCCGGAGAAAAGTGATGAACAATTCTGTTTCCAATCCTGGAATTGTGGAACCTACAAATTCAGCCTTGGTGACCAAATCTTCTGAAGGTGAAAATTTTTTTTGTGAGCACTGCAAGAAGCCATGGCATAGGAAGGAAAATTGCTGGAAAATTCATGGCAAACCAGCAAATTGGAGGAAGAAATTTGATAGCCGAGCACACTCCTCAGCGGCTGTTCAATCTCAAGGACAATTATCTACTCCTGAATTATCCTCTTCAATGAAGGACCAGATTGCAAATTTATGCAAACTTCTACAATCTCAACAGACTTCTGATTCCTCTTTTTGTTCTTTAGCCCATCAAGGTAATCCTTATCCAAAAGCCTATTCTGTCAAATCTTGTTGTGGTCCTTGGATAATAGATTCAGGAGCTACAGATCACATGTCCGGTAATTCCCATTTATTTCTCAAATATTCTCCTGCAGCAGGAAATAGAAAAATTAAGATTGCAGATGGCTCTTTTTCAGCCATTGCTGGACAGGGATCCATACGAATTTCTTCATCTCTTATCCTTGAAAATGTTCTTCATGTTCCTAATCTTTCATGTAATTTGTTATCTGTCAGTCAAATAACAAGAGAATTAAAATGCAAGGCTAATTTCTTTCCATCCCACTGTGAATTTCAGGATTTGGTCTCGGGGAGGATGATTGGCAATGCTAGACAACATGGAGGTCTGTATTTTTTTGAGGATGGAAAGTACTCGAATAAAATTGTTAAAAATTCATGTTATGTTTCAAATTTCAGTAACAATGATGTCATGCTATGGCATTATAGGTTAGGACATCCAAGTTTTCAGTATCTTAAATGTTTGTTTCCAAATTTGTTTCTGAATAAAGATCTTTCCTCATTTAGTTGTGAAATTTGTGTTATGGCAAAACAACATCGTTCTTCTTTTCCCTCACGTCCATATCAACCTTCAAAACCATTTCAATTAATTCATAGTGACATTTGGGGTCCTTATAGGATTCCTACCCATTCTGGAAAACGTTGGTTTGTGTCCTTTATTGATGATCATTCTCGAGTAAGCTGGGTTTATTTAATGAAGGAAAAATCTGAAGTTGGAGAAATTTTCAAAAATTTTTTCGCTATGGTGGAAACACAATTTAATGGAAAAATAAAAATTTTAAGAAGTGACAATGGAAGAGAGTATTTCACAAAAATTTTAGGCCAATTTTTCTTGGAAAAAGGAATTATACAGCAAAGCTCGTGTTTTGATACACCTCAGCAAAATGGTGTTGCTGAGCGAAAAAATAAACACATCTTAGAAATTACACGTGCTTTACTGTTTACTGCTAATGTTCCAAAACAATTTTGGGGAGATGCTCTTTTACATGCTGTTTTCTTGATAAATCGAATGCCTTCAAGAATTTTAAAATTCAAAACTCCTATCCAGATTTTTCAAGAGTCAAATCCGATTTCCAAACTAATTTCAAATCTACCATTAAAAATTTTTGGTTGCACAGTCTTTGTGCACAATTCGGATAAACAAAGAAGTAAACTGGATACTCGGGCACATAAAGGATTTTTCGTGGGTTTTTCAACTTCACAAAAGGGGTTCAAATGTTTTATTCCTTCACTTAAAAAATATTTTGTCACTATGGATGTTTCATTTTTTGAAAACAAATTGTTTTTTGTCCCTCATCTTCAAGGGGAGATTTCAAATATGAATACTAGGAAAGAAGATTCGGTGACTATTTCAGACCTTGATTTTTTGAGTAGTCCGGATTCTTTGGAAGATAATTCTGATAATTTTTCAAATGAATCAAATCTTATAAGTCCGGATTTGTTAGCTGAAAATGTGGTTCAAAAAGATTCGGATTTGTTGGTTGAAAAAGTGGTTGAAAAAGATTTGACTTCAAATCTAAATAATCAACAAAATCCGGATTTATTAACTAATACTTTAGCTAAAACAGATTTGAATTTAAATTCACAAAATCCTGAGCCAACTTCAAATTTAAATGAGGAAAATCAAAATGTTATTACTGAGTCAGAAACTGATACTTCAAAAATTAAAGATATTGTGAATATTGAAAATTCTATCCCAGGAAATTTAAAATTTTATTCAAGAAAGTATCCTGCCCAAAACAAGAAAACTGATGTTTCTCAGCATTGCCAAACAACTCCTCCACGGCCAGAACCAGAAATATCAGGTGAACTTCAATCAGCCCTTGAAACTTCTAATTCTGATCTATTTATTCCAATTGCTCTCAGAAAAGGAGTTAGATCCTGCACTACTAAACACCCTATCTCTAATTTTGTCTCACACTCAAATGTCTCTCCATCTTTCTCTTGTTTTCTTACTAAATTAACTCATGTTGAGATTCCGAAGTCTGTTCAAGATGCTCTTCAGGTCCCTGAATGGAAGGAGGCAGTTTTGGAGGAAATGAGAGCCTTGGAGAAGAATGGAACTTGGGAGATGATAGATCTACCTCCGGGAAAGAAAACCGTTGGGTGCAAATGGATATTTGCTGTGAAATATCACTCAGATGGATCTCTTGAGAGGTATAAGGCAAGACTGGTTGCAAAGGGTTTCACTCAAACCTATGGAATTGACTATATGGAGACATTCGCTCCAGTAGCCAAGTTAAATACAGTTCGGGTTTTGTTGTTGTTGCTGTCAACCTCAATTGGCCTCTTCAACAACTAGATGTCAAGAATGCTTTCCTCAATGGAGACTTGGAGGAAGAAGTTTATATGGTACCACCACCGGGTTTTGAAGTACGGTTTGGAACTAAGGTTTGTAAGCTAAAAAAATCCTTATATGGACTTAAACAGTCACCAAGGGCTTGGTTTGACAAATTTGCAGGGTCTGTTAAAAAACAAGGCTACTTACAAGGGCAATCCGATCACACCATGTTTTTTAAGAGAACAGACAGGGAGAAGATTGTGATACTAATAGTTTATGTTGATGACATAATTTTAACAGGTGATGACTATGAAGAAATTGACAAATTGAAGAAGAATCTCACCAAGGAATTTGAAATTAAGGATCTTGGAGCCCTTAAGTATTTTTTGGGCATGGAAGTAGCAAGATCAAAGAAGGGATTGATTGTGAGTCAACAGAAGTATATTCTGGATCTCTTGAAGGATTCAGGAATGTCAGGATGCAAACCAGTAGATACTCCAGTTGATCCTAACCTCAAATTGGGTGATAGCAGTTTGGGTATTCCAGTGGATATAGGCAGGTATCAAAGATTAGTTGGAAAGCTCATCTACTTGTCTCATACTCGTCCAGATATTGCATTTGCGGTAAGTTTGGTTAGTCAATTTATGCACTCACCAAAGAAAGAACACCTTGAAGCATCATACAGAATTCTTAGGTATCTTAAAGGTACTCCAGGAAAAGGATTGTTCTTTGAAAGAAAGGAGCACAGGGGAATTGAGGCCTACACCGACGCTGACTGGGCTGGTTCAGTTACTGACAGAAGGTCCACAACAGGATATTGCACATATGTTTGGGGTAATTTAGTTACATGGCGGAGTAAAAAACAGAACGTTGTTGCAAGAAGTAGTGCAGAAGCCGAATTTAGAGCCATGGCAAGTGGGATTTGTGAACTGATTTGGTTGAAAAGGATCTTGGAAGAACTTAAACTACCTATGGACGGTCCTATGAAGTTGTACTGTGACAACAAGGCTGCAATAAGCATAGCAAACAATCCCGTACAGCATGACCGAACCAAACATGTGGAGATCGACAGACACTTCATCAAAGAGAAGATTGAGAGTGGTGCAGTTTGCATACCGTTTCTTCCAACAACGGAACAAACAGCAGATGTTCTAACTAAGGGGCTCTTCAAGCCTACTTTTGAGTCACTTGTTAGCAAGTTGGGTTTGCTCGATATTTACAAACCAACTTGAGGGGGGGTGTCGAATAATATTAGGTAGTTAGTTCCTATTTTCTAGGAAGCTTATGTACAGAATTAAATTTGTTTAGATCTGTTTACTAGAATTAGTTAGGCTTTACTGTAATCTAGAGATTTGTTTAGTAGAATTAGTTAGGCTCTGTATTATAAATATACATTGTATTCCGATTATTCAAAATACAAAAGAGATTATTCTTTTTCTCTCTAAACTACAAAATCCTATCGCCTATAAGCACATATGTAAAGTAGATTTTTGGAAAAATGATTCACTAGAATACCCCAGGTTTTGGCCCATGAAAGGCATTGAACCTGCGGAGGCATGTTAGAGTACAACACTATAATCCTCAACCCTCAACATAACTTTTGAGTTTTGGTGTAGAGTGGTTTAGACTTTAAGCTTACCTATATTATTGTGTGTTATTATTTTGTCCCTAATTTATTCGATACTGTATGATTTTGGATGTGTTTCAGTGATGAGCTGTGATCCTTGCGTGGAAAATGTCAATGACTTGATTACCGGTTTGAATAAAACTAATGTATAAATATACATTGTATTCCGATTATTCAAAATACAAAAGAGATTATTCTTTTTCTCTCTAAACTACAAAATCCTATCGCCTATAAGCACATATGTAAAGTAGATTTTTGGAAAAATGATTCACTAGAATACCCCAGGTTTTGGCCCATGAAAGGCATTGAACCTGCGGAGGCATGTTAGAGTACAACACTATAATCCTCAACCCTCAACATAACTTTTGAGTTTTGGTGTAGAGTGGTTTAGACTTTAAGCTTACCTATATTATTGTGTGTTATTATTTTGTCCCTAATTTATTCGATACTGTATGATTTTGGATGTGTTTCAGTGATGAGCTGTGATCCTTGCGTGGAAAATGTCAATGACTTGATTACCGGTTTGAATAAAACTAATGACCTTTTCAAGTTTGTGAGAATTTTGAGACAGAATTTTCAAGCTGCTGCATTGAATGGTAAAAACCTTCCCCTGTGTAGTTTTATTTATAACAAGTGGGTTTACGAAGCGCTTAATCTTTATTCGCTTATAAAATTTTGTTCTAACTTGCTTTTGAACATGCTCATTTTAGTTTTTGATTTTCTCTTTCTTTACAATTTATCTCCATCTTTTTCAGCTTCGGTTCTAGCATATCAAAATTTCATCTCTCTGCAGATGCCATCCTCTTCTTCCATTAAGTTTAAAAGAGATATTACTTGTAGTTTATCTCAACTAGGAATATATTCTGAGCTGTCACTCTTTAGTTTATGCCACTTCTTCATATGTTGTCTAGATATAATTTTCGGAGCTCAAATTTTGTTACAGTATTCTATGTTAACGTTTCTCTAGTTCCATATTCCTAGATGAAAGAACTATGATGATATTAATATATGCCTAGATTTGTTGTCGTTTCTGGTCTGCAAGTACCATGATATTCATTTTTGCCTTCCAATTTCCATGCACCCTGAATACAAGTTTTAATTCTAACCCTATGTTTTAATTCAGGAAAAGCTTTTCTATCTAGTTGGCCTGGTAATCTGGTATTAATGTGCTATAATATGTAAGAATCACGGACATAAAAATATCCATTTAAACATTTCACTGATTTTGTGTAGAATTGATGCAACTCCCATCTGTTCAGCTTCTAGAAACTAAAATATGTAGTAGTAACTTACCAAGTAGTATTTTATGTCCATGATAGTGTGAGCTTAAAATTTTGAAGCATAAAGACTACTTGATTCTTAGGTTATCAAATATTCAACTTAAAATCTGCAAATTAGTTGACTGTATTTTTCAGTAGTGAGGTTTCAGATTCACTTTCTGACCCTGCTATCTCTAGCTGTTAGCTTTCACTGTACATAGATCATATATATACTTTTGTTCTTGACATGTTAAGCAGAACACGCTTAGTCTGAAGTATAAAGATATTGAAATTCTGCACATGTAAATGCACGTGATAACGAAAATTTGATGTTGCATATTTATATTTTAAAAATACGAAGTATAATTTTATTTTATTCATACAGTGTGCATTTAACAGATAGGGAAAGGGAGTGAAGATCAAATGATTTTCTAATAGAAGATTATATTTTACCTTCAATATTTGAACATGTAATCCCCCATTAATTTTCTTATCCTCACTATTTTCTTTATATATTAGTATAAATAGGTTGTTAAAGATATGTGTGTGTGTGTGTGTAGAACTTGGGCTTTTCTATAACTTAAAATATAACAAACATTCAATTATGCGAGATTCAATTTTATTTACATGATATAGAATTTCTATTACTAGAAGCAAAAAAGAGAACAGAAAACAAAAGAGAAAAAATCATTGTAAAATTTCATTTCTTCCCTTTTGATCCCGGTTTGAAAGAAGGACATGTTCACTATTCATTTAGCTTTGCACCACCCTTTGTTGGTTTTTTTTTAGTAGTATAAATGCTCACAAAAAACTTTAAGCACTAATATTCAGGCCTGCTAAATCTTGTAGTAGTACATGTTAGATGCCACTCATGTACATATTGTGTTAGTATGTGAAGTATGATATACCTGTATTGACACTGTTTATTTTGATGGGACATAATGAAGAATTGGAAGTTGAGGAACCATCAAAAGTTTTATGGGGAGAAAAGTACTGCTATTACTTAAAGTTCACACATCATCTTCTGTATTTTGAAGTTTAATCAAGATCTAACAATTGAGACTAGGTTTAGCTACAGAAGTAGAATAATGAATGGGGAAAATAATTGCAATTTTCAGGTGGCTTCTCTTTCTTACATCTTTAAAAGTGAACTACTGTTTGTTTTCACTTTTCAGTAATCCTCGCAATGTATCCCAACTCCTAAGTTGCAATGAGTGATTGGTGATTGTTGTCACATATATCTACTTAATGTTAGCATTAATGAGCTTCGACATGTTGTCAATATTATCCTTCCTTGTAATTTTAGTTTATACTTTGTTATTAGTTGTATTAAATTGTTTTTCTTGCTAGTCATTAGCACCTATCACGATAGAGTTTGAGACCCATGATCATTTAAGTTAGAAGCTATACCACCCTTGAATCTCGATAGATATGATACAGGTTTATTGTTATGTTCGTGAAGTACACTGCAGAGTTTCCTTTCTGGCATCACATAAGTCTGTGCACATTATCCATCTGCTGTTGCTAACTATGTTCTTTTCTTCTGGCAGAAACTTTACCTACGAAATCATCTTTCCTTCAAGAATCAATTTCAATAACAATTTCATCTCCACCACCAATCTCAGTGGATAGCAGGAAAGAAACACCACTAAAGGAAAATATTCCTCGTTCTCAACCTAAAAAACCTCGCCTTAAATCGAATCAGAGGCTCATCTCTGGGCAGGATTCAGCTCCATCTCCACAGTCCATATCAAATCGCCGCCGCTCCCCACGTTTTGCGGTAAACGTCATAATATATTTTTCTAGTTTCCTTTGCAATGATAAATAGCTTAATTTGCTGAGGAGTGTAGGGTTTGGGGAGGGTGGAAACAAGAAACTCCATAGGAGTTTCCCTGCTTCAAAGAGTAGGAGCTCCACAATGCACAATTACCAAACTCTCAGCCAGCTGTTGTATCAGCTTTACAATTGCTGGTGATAGTTTGTCATTTGTGGTCCCTAGAAGTAATAAGCAAGTAAAAAAGATTTTATTTGTATGTTCAGTCTGAGAGCATCTAATGCATGAATGGATTAAGGGCTGAACAGATTACATAGAATTACTTGAACTTTCTAACACACACATATGAACTGTTAAAACATTCCAAAAATAGCAACATCATATGCTGTCTCTCAACATACCATGTAACCATTACATTTCCAATTTCCTACTCCTTGTTCAATTTCAGTTCCAGTTCCAATTAAAGGAACAGATCAAAATTCTAGTTAACATATTAAACAGTTTCAGGTCCAATTCCAATTCCAATTAAACAAACACATTTTGAAGTTCCAGTGCTAGTAACCATCATGATTGTCATTCTCATTGAAAATACATTTTATTTCCCCCTTTAGCGACGGTACATACTGTTTGCTGCTGCTGCTGTTTATGGGCCATTGCTCGTGGTGGTGACTCAGATTGTAGCAGCAACAGCTGCTTGTATTGCTATGTTGACGACTCAAAATGCACCACAAAAAATGAAAAGGGTGGAGCTTCAACTGAAGTAACACTTGGAAGAAAAGAGGAGAAAAAGAGGAAAGACCTCTCTTTTGTTGGACCTTTTCTAGTAACCCCTTCTCCAAGCGAAAAGAAAACAAAATGACTCGCCTTCAACAAATGTTGAGTTTTGTTCAAATGTGCTTCTTAGTCATAATCCTTTTTTCTGACAGGGAACTGTTCGTTAGTGATGCAATTTGGACTTTGCTTGACTGCTTTTGTTTTACCTGTCAACTTCAAGGATATGCTCGTTCTTGTAATCTTGAAGCAGCTTGCAGCACCCATTTTGCTTGCATTTTTCCCCTGCAGTTACATCATTAGTACAGCATCCCTGATTGCTACATTATAAACATTTGTTGTCATTTATATATTTCAATTTCTGACAATTTGCCCTTTTTTCCTTGGTCCTATCCATATTGTTCCATATCTATCCTTCAAAGTGTATGTGTTGTTTTCCTTATCCTTTTTTTATTGAACTAAGCTTCTCAAGGAAATTAATCAAATATTCTCCGTGCATTTTATCGAAGGTTTGCAATATAACTCTATTTTTGCATAGTGGATCACTTATGTAATATTGGCCATGACTCCAAGCTAATGAATGGCTGGCCAAACATATGCTGATGTTGTGCTCTTATGGAATTCTTTTCTTTTTCCGTTGCTTGCTCCATGTTGATGATGCCTAAATTTGGACCCTTTGATAAATCTGCTGTTTTGATAAATCTGCTGTTTTTGAAGGTGTAATGATTGATTAACTCGCTCTCCTGTAGGACAAAGAGCTTATTTGAAGATTGGATATTTAGTGGCAACTGTTCTCCTTCTGACGCATGTGATTCAAGTGCGTGAAGAAGATAGAATATGCAAGGAATAACTCATTCCTGTTATCTCTAACTTTGTGTAAGATTGTGAGCTATGAGCGCTTTTGTAAATTCAATGTATTGCAATGATACTTATCCTTTCTCTTATGGGCTAAAAATGTTCTGTAAGTTTTGGGGTGTGTAAAAGCATTGGTCGTCACATGTTCATTAGCTATGTAACTGCTGGTTCTTTGGTTTGCTGATGAAAGTCCATATGTAGTCGGATGATATTCTAGGACATTAACTTGATACTGAATCCCTTTACGTATGCAAAATATAGGACCAAGAATGCATTTGGAAAGATATTGGCTGGTAAAATGACTATATTCTGAATCAGAAACTCAACTGATTGTGCCTGAAATTTATTTTTCATTATTGTGAATCCAGGGCTTGCACGCATACAGGAAATGTCTGCACCAGATGTAGATACTTCTACAGTAAACAGAGGTTGATGCGTCCCTCCTTATATTTGAAATGTAAATTGCTGATGTGGTGTACATATAAGCCATCGCTTATGATCTGCATATGTTGACAATCTTAGACTATTGGTTTGGATATGCATCACGTCAGTGATACACTAACAGTGCAGGTATGCATCACGTCAGCAATATGCCAACCAACAGCGCCCTTGTTTATGCTATTATCTATTTTTCCAGCTTCTCTACCTTAGACAATTGTCAGTACATCATTACTACTATTTCTTCTCCTTCCGCCTGAGTCATATCAACTTCTGAAGTCTTTTAGCACCTAACTTCATATAAACCAAGCAGCAGTATCAACTGGGGCTGGAGCATTCTTCCTCAAATCTTCTGCTGGTGCTTGCTCGCATGCAATTGCAGATTACAGTTTACCATTACAAAGGGACCCATGACAACATATACAACCACTGGAGACATGGGGGAAAAAGAACAGTTCAAACCATTTCTATAAAAATCGATAAATGTTAACTATTCTGCATTGTTCTGACATAGCCTCAGAAAGTTTATATACACAATCTGAACCTCCTCGAACGAGCAGAAACAACTTATAACGGGAGGAAAGGCAAGATAACAAAGCATCAAAGAGGATGATGACAAAGAAATGTGCGTGTGCTTTTGATTCTTATGGGTGGATTTACTCGTCGTCTTTGTATGGGTACTCTTCAGGGACTTGCTGCAGAAGTTTGACCCGCAACGCATAGGCATCATCCCCATGAAGCATATCTCTAACCCAGGTCACTTCAGTTTTCATCAACACCTGAAACCAACAAATCCAAGTCACTTGTCAATCTGCAGAAAAATTTATATAATATAGATTTTCATCAAGAATGTTAAAGAAAATAAATCAAATACTTTGTTAATATACATTTTTTGCTGTTGCATTCTAAAGTCTGAAAGAATTAGTGCTGTTTATTTTGCTCTAGACAAACACATGAGGTATATCATATCGGTTTCCTCGTTAAAAGAATTGAGGGAGGAAAAAGGTATTGGGCTTATTTTATCATGTTAGAATGTCCTGCAGCTGAAAACGTATAACTTGAGGGCATTTAAGGGCTTCGACATATGTATAATTAATTTGATTTTATTACAGGAATCATGTTCGAATAAAGATATGTCGCTGCTAGTGAAATAGAAATGAGGTCTAATGAGTTATTTATTAAATATAATGTTATTTTCAAATTCAAGAAATTAAGCAAAGCCTTCATCATATATGTTAGTGTGTGTTTTGGAGAGACGTTGGGACAAAAAGAGCACAGTGACAAAACAACTTCAATACATTCTCGTCTACTAAAGAGCAAGCAAAATAACGAAACATAATTTTGCTACAATGCTTCTCCCAGCTGTCTTAGAAGACTATCTGACACATCATGTGCTATATTCGTGAGCAAATAGGTTGTCATTCATTTTTTTTATATAAAGCATGCACTCATCTAACGCAAAGTTAGAGGTATAAGGTGTTTGAATTTGCTCCAGGCACAAGGATTTTTTTTTCCCTTTATCTATTCAACAGTGAAGCACCATCTAAATAAAAATAGAAGTACTTCTGTTCGGAGTAAGAATATTAAAAAAAAGCTAAATGATGAGAAACCAACCATTTCAAGTGCCCCTCTAATAACTCCACTCAAGATGTTGCACTAGTAAAGACCTTGGCACGTATCAGGGAGCTCTACGAAATCCATCAGAGGATTATCTTCAAGTATAATGCTACAACTTGTTCCCTCAGAGTTCCAATTGGTCACAGTTGCTGTTACCCAGTATATAGATACTGATACAAAATTGCGTAAAATGTTGAAATTTTTTTCTTGTGTCGAATTAAGGTTACCTCAGAGGTAATTATGCTATTATTCTTCCACTAATCGATCTGATGAAATTCATACCTGGCCAAGCTAAGAAGTTATGAACCAACCAAGTCTTCTCAATGTCTGATGCAATTAATGTGACAAGATAATGTGAGAATCCCCTCAGGATATGATTAAAAACATTCATACAAAAAAGGCACCAAATTAATTACAAGATTTTCCCAAGGTAGGCAATCGGCGCTAAGGAACAATAGTAGAAAAGCACTCAAACTTAACACTGAAACTCGCAAAGAAACGCTCACTGACGTTGAATCTAAGGAATATACTGCAAGATAAATACCTTTAGCAGCTAATCCCTTAAAGGCAACCTCATAGACAAGAAACTCCCACTGAAGGGAAAGAAAGAATAAATGAATTTGATGAATTTAATATCTATGTGAATACAATTAATTCAATTGAAACTTCAAATGAATCTGTAAGAGATAGCGAAGGTGAAGGTTTTTTCTATACCTGATGAAGATCTAGAAAAATTAAAACAAGCTATTCCTAGATCTGATAAAAAAGATGTTTATAAAACCTCTTCATTGAAATCCAGGTTTCTAAATAAAAAAAACCTATATGTTCGAAAGAATGCAAGGAAATATAGAATTAAAAAAAGGAGATGATTTTACATCTATCCCACTGTTTTAAAAAGCCTCCGCCTAGTCTGCCTAGGCGTAAGCCTAAGCCTAGGCGGTACCCAAGCGACCTAACTAGCGTTTAACACTTAGACGGAACCTAGCCTGCCCATTTAGATTTTAGGAGTGTTTTAAGGGAGTATTGTCTACTTACGTGGACTGGATTGTACCCTTTAGGCCATGATCATGTTTTCTATGTTGCGGCATCCACGTCCTCCATCCTCCTTCAAACTCCTTTAACCTCCAAATATGAATACCTCCACTATCTCCTCCGACCTTCAACAAAATATCATCGACCACCACTTAAATGAAGGAAGAAACCTGCCTGGACAATAGTCCAGCACCTAATGTTTCTATAACATTGATAGTTACTATTAATTATTGTGACTAAAAAAATAAAAATAAAAAGCCTCTTAGGCTCTAAGCGTCAGGTCCAATGCCTAGACCTCCTAGCACTTTCTATAACCTTGTTAGTTATTATTTTGACTATTTATTATTTAAATATACATAGTTTATTGTGGATCTAAGATTGCTACCTTTTTGGCAAATTTATATAAATTAAATACATAGCTTTATCAATTATTATAATTAAATAATTTAAAAAACAGCCAAACGCGTAGACGCCGCCTAGGCGTACACCTAAGCGGCGTCTAGGCGCTGGCTCAAACGCCTAGTCCGCCCAGCGCTTTCTGTAACATTGATCTATCCAATTGATAGATAATTAAAAAAATAGAATAAATAAAGAAATACTATCTTGATAAAAGATATTTACATATCAGTTTGATCCAAATCAAAATAACTGGGTTATTCAGATTAGGAATAGACAATCTAATTTTATTCGTTTGTAGATATGAAAGAATTGTAGATTCTCTTAATAGTTTAATTGGAGGAGCTAAATATAACTTAGCAAATAGAATATTTGCCATCAACATACATCCAGAATTTTGTTAGTCTTTCAGACAATAATATTAACAAAATATGTACTTTGTCCATAAAATTAGAAAATATAGAAATGTTACCAAAATCCAAAGTACTTAGAATGCAATGAGAACATTGTATGGGAGTAAATAATATGTGTACCTTTAGATCCATAACTCCAACAAACTACATTCAATTATTTGAAGTTGGAATGAGAAAAACTATTCAATAAAGAATGGTTGATACTAGGCACATAAAATAAGATCCACATCTACAGATTTTTACAAAATCTTTAAAATCACCAATAAGACTACCGAAGAATTCTTTATTGCATCGGGAAATACCACATCTACTATATATACGACATCTGACGAAGCATCCACCACTTCAGAACCAAGATTGACAAGGATAAACACTATAATAAATGAACAAAAAGATCAATCTATGGTAGATATAAAATTGAATCTTGGTATATTACATGATACACATAGGCTAAGTTTTAGACACGATGATCCTATTGAAGGAAGGTCTATTAGATTTATTAAAAAATTGGATGAACAAGATAAAACCAAAAGTTAATACATAAACAGGGAATATGATAATAAGAGTTCCCATCTCAGGCATTCAACAATGATTAATAATACAATAGATCTAAGAAGAAGAGCTCAATCTTATACACACACACATACTATTAACATTTCAACTACCAGACACTGCTGAATTCACAATTCATGCTTTACTAGATACTGGAGCTCAAGTTAGTCTTGTAAAACAAGTTTTCACTCCAGAAAAAATTTATGTTCCTATGGGCAGAAAAAGAATTTTAAATGGTTTTACTGGACATCAAACAGGTGTTACCCACAAAGCTAAACAAATACCCATCACTACCCATGATATGCATGGAATCACAGTCAAATACTTCTTTGACTTTACCATATTACCTCCTGGTTTAGATCGAGATTGCATTCCTGGAATGGATAATCTTAGACACTATCCGCCTTTCAATAACGCATACTTCACTTTTGATAGTCATCTTATACCCAAAATCCCTTTTTCTAAACCTATTTCTTCTTCTTATTCTCCATCGCTAGCCCAGCGTGGTGAAATAGAATAGAAAAAATATACACTTATCTAATTTCACCTGCAAATGAATTTGAAAAACTAATCCCTAGTATTATGCTAGAACCACTCTATTCTGACAATCCTTAAAGCTTTTTAATAAAGCAGCAATATATTGTAAATAGAACTTCTTAATGAATGTATAAACTCATATATAAGAGTAAATAGCATCACGGTATCTACTCTTGATAAAAAAGAATTTGCTAAACAAATACAACTACTAGTCGATCTACAGCTTATTAGAAAAAGTTATAGTCCTCATTCATCTCCAGATTTTCTAGTTAGAAATCATGCAGAACTGAAAAGATGAAAAGCATGGATGGTAATAAACTATAGAAAACTCAACAGTTACGCCAAATTTGATGGTTACTTTATACCATCAACAGAACATCTATTAAGCAGATTTAAGGAGCAAAATTTATAGTAAATTTGATGGGAAATTAGGTTTCTAGCAATTTAAATTCAAAGATAAGAATTCAATTGAATTAACATATTTTAGTTGCCTATAAGGTCATTGTGAATTAATAGTAATGCCTTTTGGTTTAAAAAATGCTCCACAAATATTTTAAAAATGGATGAATTCTACATTTGGACACCTACCATATTTAGTCGTATATATAGATAACGTTCTAATTTTCTCTTCAACGGAAAAAGAACACAAAGAACGCCTTTTAACAGTTATCAAACTACTTATAAATAATGGAATTATTCTTAGTCCTAAAAAGATTTAAGTTATTTAAGACTGAAATAGAATTTTTAGGCAAATACATAAAAAATAGAAGAATAGAACTCCAACAACATATATACTCAAAATATAAAAGAATTTCCTGATGATTTTTCAACTCTTAAAGAATTGCAAAGTTTCTTAGGTTTGCTAAACTATGGAAGAAAATTCATACCTCATCTTTCGGCAAGAATAGAAAATTTACAAAAGAAACTTACTAAAATGCAAGTAAAATATAAACAAGAAAGTAGTGAACAACCTAGAAGATGGAATAATGATAAGATCAAAATTATATATTAAAAAAATCTTATACTACAAATAGCATTATTTTACAAACCGATGATTTTGATCTTTTTTACAAAAAAATATAGAGGTACTACCTTATGCATCTCAAAATTTTAAAAAGACAGAACAAAAATATGTTACTTATGACAAAGAGCTTCTTGCTATAAAATTAGCTAGGAAAAATCTAAATATATATCTTATCGACAAAAACTTTATTATTGAAACATATAACAAATCTATATCCCAATTTTTAAAGAAAAAACTATTAATAATTTAGAAAAATTAAAATTGCTACGTAATTAAAAATCTATTCTTATGATGTCAAATATATTCCTTGATATACTAATTTTGCAGGTGATCTTTTTTCCAGTCTATGTCTGCCAAGGAGCTAGGAGAAAGAATGCAGAAGGCACTGAATGATCATAATAATAAGTCAATAAAGAGGCTCAATAAGGAATGGACAAAAAAGGAAGAAAGCTAAAGCCAATTATTTTCAAAACATTTCTTCCACATATGAAAAGGAAATTCCTACAATAATTCATTAAAATATGAGCTCAATGAGATTCAAGCCCACTAGTCTAAGACCTATAGCTCAGCATTTTCGACCCCATGGTCAAACAATTCTATCCACTAGTCCTGCTTCTTTCCTTAAAGCTATCATAGAAAAATGGTATGATAGCGGATTGAAAAGTAAAAAATCCAGAAGATTACGAACTTCTAAAAGACATCTTCAAAGCTGTACAAAAAGGCGAAAATAGAACTATAAATTTTTACCTGACACGGCTAAATGAAAAATTAAAAGAAAAAATGCGACAATTGCAGCAAAAAACAGAGGATATCATGAAGCTAGAAAGAGTAGAAAATATAGCAAAATATTCCTCTACAATAAAATATCTAGCCTTGACAAGAAAAATGAGTAACATGTTTGCGGGCTACTCTCCTGAACAAATACAATTAAAAAGTTTCCTCGAAACTTTTGATCTATCAGATTTAGTGAGTTTAAGGAGTGAAGACTTCCTTGAACTAATGAAGTTTTTAAAATTGATACAAAAAACTCAGTTTTAGAATCAAAATCTCAATTCCAAAAACTCGTAGAATTGTATAATCAACAACTAGTTGATGAACAATTCTTGCTAAAGTTTTTCAAAGAAATTCAAGAAGCAGGAATTGAGGGTCTTCTCAGCAAACATGAATTAATACTAAATGAAAATAATAGACCTCAACTTCTGGCTTGTTTTTCATGAAATTCATAAGTACAAGTGCAAATTGAAAAAAAGATTGGTTCACGAGATATATCTCAGTACCAACAATCCTTAAGATTTTCAAAGCATCATACCCCCAATGTTTTAAAACTGTCATGCAGTGCGGTACAAAATACTAAAACGTATTCATGTTCTGTATTTGGTCTTTCTGGAAAGAAAGACAGTATATAAAAATGTACCCCTTAGGAAACTCCACAAAGTCATTGAAGATCTGCAACACTTAAAGATCAAATTCAATAAGGATTTTGTAGAAAAAAATAAATGTCGAAACGCTGCGATAGAATTCTTTAACACTATATGGGAATTATCCAGATCAGTGATGTCCATTAAATTTGAAAATTGAATAATTCTATTTGATTAGAAAGCAGTTTCTTTAGCTCCTAAATCCAACCACACAGAAATAGTGAAGAGTTTTATTGATTCACTTCATTTGGCACAAATGGGGAAAGAATTAAGAAATTCTTTCTATCTAAACCACGATCTCAAACCTCCTCAATCAATAGCGACATCAACTTCATATATTATGGAATATGAAGATTCAATAACCCTAATGAATTAGCTGAAGATAGACACAATAAAGCTAGGTGGACCTACTGACAAAACCACAGGATAAAAACGTTCTCACCAACCGCACTCACAGTCATAAAAAGAAAGAATATATATTTTTTTAAAAAAGTATTTTGTCCGCACTCACCGAAGTGACACCAATGGAATCTGCTTTTTGATAAAGCATTTGCTTCTGAAGAATTATTGAAGACAAATGAACGTGACGATAGGGCCCAATGTGTATTCAGTGAACCTTTGTGCTTTCAATTTTTCTTTAGAAGAAATGATGGAAGACAATTGCTTCCTCAATAAAAAGAAAACTCTCTGGCTTTAGAGAGGCATCAAAGTTTAGTCTAAGCTTTCTCTTTCTATTTTGAGTGTTTCTTAGTGAGTTTCAGTGTTAATTTTGAGTATTTTTCTACTATTTTTCCTTAGCCCCGATTGACTACCTTGGGAAAATCTTGTGACCAATTACAAAGAGAAATTTTAGACTAAACTTTGATGCCTCTCTAAAGTCAATGAGTCTTCTTTTTATAGACGAAGCAATTGTCTTCCATCATTTCTTCTAAAGAAAAATTAAAAGTACAAAGGTTCATTGGATACACATTGGCCCCCATCATCACATCTTCAATAATTCTTCAAAAGCAACTGCTTTATTAAAAAGCAAATTCCATTGGTCACTTCCGTGAGCGTGGACAAAATACTTTTTCCAAAAAGTAGATTCTTTCTTTTTATGGATGTGAGTGCGGTTGGTGAGAACACTTTTATCCTATGGTCCTATCAGTAGGTCCACCTTGTTTTCCTATGTCTATCTTCAGTTGATTCATCAAGATCGTTAAATCTTCCTATCCATCTTCATGTCCTTCATGCTCTATAAGATCTAAAGTCGATGCCATGTTCATTAAGGAGGTTCTAGATAGAAATGATTTTTTTCAAATGAAGTGAATCAATAAAACCCTTCATTATTTCTGTCAGGTTAGATTTAAGAGCTAAAGAAGCTGCTAGTCATTCAAATAGAATTGTCCATATTCAAATTTAATGGACGAGACTGAGCTAGATAATTCCTATATAGTATCAAAAAATTCTACTGCAACATTTCGACATTCATTTTCTTCTACAAAGACCCTATTGAATTTGAATTTTAAGTGTTGCGGATTTTCAATGAATTTGTGAAGTTTCAAAAGATGTACTGAGGGTACATTTTTATCTACTTTCTTCCCATATAGACCAAATACAGAACATAAATATGTTTAGCTTTGTGTAACAGGTATTTGATGTCCAGTAAAACTATTTAAAATTTCTTTTCTATCCAAAGGAACATAAACTTTTTTCTAAAATAAAAACTTGTTGTACAATACTAACTTCAGCTCCAGTATCCAGTAAAGCATGAATTATAAATTCAGCAATGTCTGTTAGTTAAAATGTTAATGGGGTGTATATATGTATATATGTATGTGTATATATATATGAGATTGAGCTCTTATTAGATCTATTATATTAACCATTGTTGAATGATTGAGATGCGAAATTTTATTATCATATTCCCTGTATGTTAATTAATTTTTGGTTTATCTTGTTCATTTAATTTTTCAATAAATCTAATAGACATTCCTTCAATAGGATCATCGTGTCTAAAACTTAGCCTATGTATATCATGTAATATACCAGGATTCGATTTTATATCTACCAAATTGATCTTTTCGTTTATTTATTACGACGTTTGTCCTTGTCAATCTTGGGTCTGAAGAGATGGAGGTTTCATCATGATAGGCAAATCCGCAAGTGCACGGACTCGTTGTAGCTATCAAGCTCGATCCCACAGGGACTAGGAGTTAATTACCAAATTTCACGTTATTCGACTAGCTAAACCGACAAGTAAAATAGAAGAGATTAAATTTGCGAGATTAAATAAAAGAAATAAAATAAACAACTAATCAGGTGGAATCCAATATAATGAAGGGCTAGGATTGGGTTTTCACCATAACTTTGATGCTTAATGATGAATTATTTTAATTCTCGGTGTTGGTTTAAACTAGAAATGGTGAATTAGCCTAAATTAATCTAAAGCATCTTTCAATATCTAAAGATCGTGCATAATTAATCTCATTAACCTACTTTCGTAGAATCAATATTAAATTAAACTCATTAAACTTTATGCTAATCCAAATCAAATCCCCAAGGAATCTAGCCTACTTTTATGGTTCGAAATCCCTGCTTAATTTCTAGAGGTCCGGTATTAATCTTCACCTTTCAGTCCTTCAATTAATTACCTATGATTGCTAACCCGGTGATCAAGCAAATCAACAAAATTAATTCACAAGAAATTAAGTTTAAAGATTTAAACTTTCACCAAGAACCTATATTTCATCATCAATTACCAAAAAGTTAGGTTCTTTCCCAATCCTAAACAAAGAATCCACTCACTCATGATTAGGATAAGAGAATACATCAAATAAATATGCAAATCAATCATAAGAAGAAATTAATTAAAGCGAGGAAAGAAATAACCCGTCTTTCAATTGAAATCTTCAAAATATAGCTTTGCAATCCAATCTTGTACAAGAAATTTGTGTCTTCCTTTAATACTTGAACTCTAAAATAGATGCTAATTGACGGCTAAGAGAACAAGAACAAAAGATCCTAAACCCTAAGCTAAAATACATATTTATAGGTCGCAAAAAATCTGGAAAAAGATAAGACCCAAACCACGGGTGTGGTGGAATCTGTCTCGCACATTTCATGCTTGTTCGTACAGTCTTTGATATTTTAGCTGTAACTTTTTCGTCCGACTCGGAATGGAGTGATTCAAGTTGCGTTGAAAAGTTGTTGAAGAGATCTACAACTTTTATCTTTTGAGCTTTTTCGGATTCGAACTGCATCATGGTCGAAATTCCAGTTCTTCATACTCGTGTATCCATTTCCTTCTCAAGCCATGCATTCCAAATCTCGTTGTTGCTTCAAACTCTTGTTCAACTTCCAACGATCATCGAATCTTTCAATCTTGAGCCAATACCTGCATATAAGAACACAAACCACAGCAATATCATTGATCTAAACACGAAATATGCATCAAACACCCCATAATTCATGCTTAAAACACACTAAGATAATGCATATTTTACGTGTTTATCAACTCCCTCAAGCTTAGACTTTTTCTTGTCCTCAAGCAAATAAACAATAAAAAATAAGAGTGAAAGCCAAATAGAGTAGGGATCACCCTCTCATCAATCCTTTAACCAATATCAAACATATCACAATACAGACACGTTTCATCGGGACTTAACAAAATAATTTTAAAACTCTCACAAAATCACATTTCAAACTTACTTACGATCACAAGCGTCACAAATCAAGGATAGCCATATCCAATTCTCAAGTCAAAGTAGGAAAAAGTAATCCATGTAACTAGCTTCAATCCAGAAGCACTAAAATTGAGACCTTCAGATAGTTAAATTGGTAGACCTCACTTTAGAGTATGTGGACTCTTAATATCTTATGTGTTTAAGGATAGGATTATGTCGCTCAAAATTCTTCCGAATGGATGTATTCAATCCATAAGCTTGCAATGTGTTTAAGGATAGGATTATGTCGCTCAAAATTCTTCCGAATGGATGTATTCAATCCATAAGCTTGCATTTCATCTCAATTCTATGTCGCTCAAAATTCTTCCGAATGGATGTATTCAATCCATAAGCTTGCATTTCATCTCAATTCTCCACTACTTCAAAAACTAATGCATGCAAAAAATCATGAGGTCTTTTATTTGGTTGTAACGGGGCTAGGGTTAAAAGGATAGGATAGATATTTGGGATTGTAGCTGAAAGCCTATCACTAGTGGAGCGATAATTATAAAGGATTAGATCTCAAAGTAAGGTCAATGACATCCACACAAACTCCATCATCTATCAAAGAATTTCTTCTAACTACTCCCTTTAGTACGCCACAATGAATTCTTTCGACACCCGCAATTACATACACCATAAAGAGGACACTTTATTCATCTTTTTTTTTTTTTTTTTGAATTAAATGAAAAGGAGAAAACCTAACACCTCCTTTCACACCCCAAGCTTACACCACATTACTCATTTAACTCATTATATCAGAAATTGTGCTTCACTAGCTTAGGCATAGGTAAGGAATACAGTCGGGTTTAAAGGTTACATATGTGGGTTAAATCAATAAAAATTAGACTCATAGGCTCAAAGGGAACAATAGTACATGGTAGACAGTTTGGCTAATGTGGACTATGAACAAAAATGTGCCTCAATCACCTTTTATGTATACAAAAGTTATATGTGGCCTCGAAGAGATTCAATGTAAGTTCTAGTATCCTACATTATTGGAGAATATCACACAAGAAAAGAAAATCATCATTGGATATGTAATGCATCCAATTTCAGGCTCAAGATCTCACCGGTTTTATTTTTCTACCAAATTTAATTTCCTTCTTATCTCAATAGAGTAATGGTCATGATGCTAGCCACATAAATGCTAAACCCTATAAGACGAGAACATTCAAGTCTGGTTCTCCCATATTGTTAACTTGTAATCAAAAATCTTTGATAATCAGTTGAAAGGTGGTTTTAAAAAGCTGTCTAGTCCCGACTAAAAAGCATCTATCTAGTTCAATGATTTATAAAGGTTAAGGATTCATGTCATCATCAGGAGATCACTTCCTTATTTCTTTTTTTAGGTTTTTTTTAAGAGAGGAAACAAAGCAAAGAAAAACAAAAATTAAAGCAAAGAAAAATGAAAATAAAATAAAAACAGGCAATCATGGTCAATCAATCAATACAGAAACAACCCACACCCCTAAGCATAAGATCTACATTGTCCCCAATATAGTAAGATGTAATTGAGTGCACGGGTGCAGGGAACATACCAAGTCACTGGTCAGAAGGAGGTGGAGCGGAGACATCCTGACGGAGTTGCCACTCATGAATAGACTGCATCATGCGGTGCATAGAGTCCAAGAGTTGTCCTTGACGTTGTTGCTCTTGCTCGATGGCACCTACACGGTTAGTAAGGGAGACAAGAGAAATATTGATAGCTGATAACTTCGTTGACCAATCAGAGTGGTGGAAAGAGCTAACTCCCCTATCAGGTTAACATTGGATAGGGATCAGGGTACTGTGTCAGCATCCTCAGCTGGCATAACCTCGTGACCATCACAATTCATAAAATCAGATGTGAAGTAGCACCAATTTGCGTGAACATGGATGGTCATGCGATCAGGATCAGAGTGGAAAAAGATAATTGTCCTGAAAACATAACAATAACCTATTGCCCTTATAGCTAATCAATTTCATATGAAGACAAACATCTAGGTTAATAGACGCACTAGGGCTTAAAGGATAAAGTCCCTCTACGAGCTCCCCTAAACCTATCTCGTAAGCTAAGGTGGTAATCAAACCACCAAACATAATTTTTCCGCTCGTTGCTCTCGCTGCACGACACATATGATGAATCATAAAAGCTCCTGTGTCAACCTTGTGTCCCTCGATCATGGCACATAAGAGGTAGAGTTCTCTCTAACACATGATCCATCACTCTCGCCTCGACCAAAAATTATGAAAGCCATGAACCACTGTAAATATCTAAAGCATGGGTTATAAACAACAAAGGCCCTTGACATTAAGGGATCATAAGTTCTTTGAGTGGTAGAGCGTGCGATGGAAGTCCAAAAGGGGGTCAAGTTAAAATGTTTAGGGACAATTCTAGCCCCACCATCCGGATAACCAAATATCTCATTTAATTGTCCTAATGTAAGTGTGTGGGACTGGTTAAATAGCCGGAAAGTGATTTTCCCTTCTTTTACTCCCTCACCATTAAACAAAACAGCATCAAGAGAACTCAAAAACTCGAGAGTAATATGTTCGTACGTGGGATGTTTAGCTTCTACAAAATTTATCCAACCAACCTGTTTTAGGAGATATGAAACATCTTCCCACAGTCCTAACTCACGCAAACATATCTCATCCAAATAGCGGGTACTCAGAATTCCCCGCTTAACCAGTGCATTATACCTAGATTATTGTTGTGCATCGACAAATTCTATACCATGAGGATTTTGGGGAGGGGAAGGGTTACCTCTTTGTCATCGCGATTTAGAAGTTGAGGCTCTCTGGCTAGTCCGTCCGCATTTAGGTCTCATATAGTCTACCGAACGGGAGTTGATAGCAGGTCGAACGGCAATTGATGGCGGCGACTGGTCGTTGTGCGGCGCGAGATGGTGGTGTTCGTCGTTGCTGGGTTGAATTAGTTGAGGGGGGTGGTCGGCTGTTAATGGTGAGGGATGGGGGGTGAAGAGATGGCGGTGGTATGTTGCGGCGGTCTTGATGTGTATGGATGGGAGCGAATGAGGAGATGGTTAGCTATTGATGGTGAGGGATGGGGGCGGTGAGGCGCGCGAGATAGTGGTGAAGAGAGGAGGAGGCGCGGGGCGTGGAGGTATCGAGGTGTTGCATGGCTCGGCTATGGTGGTGAAGGATAGAGAAACGAGCGTATGCTTGGTCTGGAGGGTGTGGAGTATGGATTGAGGGCCTCGATGACGAGTGCCGGCGCTGGTTTGAGAAGAGACGGCGGCATCTGTGAGGGCGCTTGGGTGCGCAATGGAGATGGGTGTGGTGATGATAACGAAGGGCGGCGACTGATGAGTTAGGTTAAAGAAGATGAAAGGAAAAGAAAAGGATCCGAGTGTTTTATTTCTTCTCTCCTTTTTTTGAACCGTGGGTGTGGCATACATCACACCTGAGTGTGGTAGGATTTGGATTTGTTGAGCTTTTGGTGTCTAGAATGCCAAGGGTGTGGCAGACACCACCCCTGGGTGTGATAGAATCTACCTTTCTCTGCATTTAGCGAGCTATGGGTGTGGCAGATACCACCTCTGGGTGCTCTGGGTGTGGTAGGGTCTGCTACTGTCTTCTTTTTGGTGTCCAGCCAATCAGGGGTGTGGCAGATACCACCCCTGGGTGTGGTAGAATCTGTCATCTCATTTTTTAACTCCTTTTTCTGCAGGTAGGTGTGGTATATTCGATGACCGTCATTCAATTTGTTATGCCATGTCTTCCCTTCTTCGCAACTGCATGATTGAAAGTATTATAAGTTAAATTTGTGCTAATCCAATTGCCTATAAAAATAATAAACGAAATTAAAGTGGAAAAAATAAGGTAAAATAAAAGAACGAGAAATGAGGAAAACTTGGGTTGCCTCCTAAGAAGCGCTCGTTTATGGTCATGAGCTCGACCCTTTTTTACGCTCAATTCTTTGACAAAGGGGGGTCGAAAAGGGTATAAGTGACCACTTTCTCGTTTTGTTCCCCAACAATGTAGTGTTTCAATCGTTGCACATTCACCTTGAAAGATCCCGTTGTTTCACTCCAAACTTCAACAACTCCACTAGGAAAGACCTCATGGACTTGAAAAGATCCGGACCACCTAGACTTGAGCTTTCCCGAAAAAAGCTTCAAACGAGAGTTGAAACGTAGCACCATATCTCCTTGATTAAACTCTTTTCAAAGGATATTCTTATCGTGTCATCGTTTAGTCCTTTCTTTATAAATGCGAGCATTCTCATAGGAATCTAATCGTAGCTCATCTAACTCATGAAGTTGAAGCTTTTTTTTCTCACTTGCGGTCTTCATATCAAAATTTAGTAGCTTAATAGCCTAATACGCATTGTTCTCTAACTCAACTGGAAGATGACACGATTTGTCATATACCAACTGGAACGGTGTTATGCCTATGGGTGTTTTGTAGGCAATTCGATAGGCGAGTTTCATAGACTAATCCTTTCTTGAACGATTAACTGTTTTCTCCAAAATACTCTTAATTTCACGATTCAAAACCTCCACTTGACCACTAGCTTGAGGATGGTATGGCATGGCAACCTTATGAGTGACTCCATATTGTCTTGAGAGCTTCGAATTTTCTTTCTATGAAATGTGAACCACCATCACTGATTACCTTCCGTGGCACCCTAAATCTTGAAAAAATAAAGTTCTTGAATAGTTTCTCAACCACTTTAGCATCATTGGTGGGGGATGCTATTGCTTCTACCCACTTGGAGACGTAGTCCACTGCCACTAAGATGAACTTGTTATTACACGATGACGGAAACGATCCCATGAAATTTATGCCCCACACATCAAAGACTTTAATTTCTAAGATGGAGTGTAAAGGCATCTCATGTCGCTTCGAAATGTTCTCGGTCCTCTGACAACTGTCACAAGATGTCACAAACTGATTTGTATCTCGGAAAAGACTCAGCCAATAGAAACCTGATTATAGAACTTTTACAGCTGTCTTTGAAGTGCTTGCATGTCCCCCGTAAGAAGATGAATGGAAATGATGAAGAATACCTGTAACCTCATCTTCAGGAACACACCTTCTAAACATCCCATCAACACACCGTTCGTATAGAAACGGTTCATCCCAAAAATAATACTTCAAGTCAGCAAAGAACTTCTTTTTCTGTTAATAACTCAGATCCGGAGGCAAAATCCACACACTAGGTAGTTGACAAAGTCCGCATATCATGGTGCATCCAATCTTTCAATGACTAATTGATCATCTGGGAAGGAGTCATCGATCGGTAGTTCATCCTCCTCTCTATCATGTGATTCTTGTCTCATCCTTGACAAATGGTCTGCCACTAAATTTTTTATCCCTTTCTTATCCTTTATCTCTAGGTCAAACTCTTGTAAAAGTAGTATCCATCGAATCAACCCAGGTTTGGCATCTTGCTTACTCAAAAGATATTTGATGGCGGAGTGGTCGATATAAACGATGACTTTGGACCCCACTAAGTAAGTCTAAAACTTGTCAAAGGCGAAGACAATTGCTAATAGCTCATTTTCAGTCGTAGCATAATTAACTTAGGCTTCATCAAGAGTGCGACTAGCATAATAAATTGCATGAACTATCTTGTTCTTCCTTTGGCCTAACACAGCTTCATCAAGAGTGCGACTAGCATAATAAATTGCATGAACTATCTTGTTCTTCCTTTGGCCTAACACAGCACCAACCGCATAATCACTTACATCAGTCATGACTTCAAATGGGAGATTCTAGTCCGGCGGTTGCATAATAGGAGTTGTTATCAATGCTTCCTTCGACCTACGACAAACATCAAGACATTCACCAGTGAAATCAAGGGGAGCATCTTTAAGAAGGTTAGTTAAAGGTTTTGTAATTTTTAAGAAGACTTTGATGAAGCGCTGATAGAAATCGGCATGTCCTAAGAAACTTCTTACTCCCCTAACCGACGTTGGTGGATGTAATTTTTCAATGATTTTCACTTTTGCTCGATCAACCTCAATTCCGCGCTCGGACACCTTGTGTCCTAGAACTATTACATCCCTTATCATAAAGTAGTATTTCTCCCAGTTTAGAACTAAATTAACTTTTTCGCAATGCTGCAAAACTCGAGACAAGTTAGCTAAACAATCATCAAAAGTAGTCTCATATGCGAAGAAGTCATCCATAGACATGTACATAATGTCTTCTATAAAATCAGAGAAAATAGCCATCATACATCGTTGAAAAGTGGCAAGGTCATTACAAAGACCTAAAGGCATGCGCCTATAAACAAATGTCCCATAGGGACATGTAAAGTGGTCTTTTCCTGGTCACTAGGATAAATAAGGATTTGGAAAAATCCTGAATAGCCATCTAAATAACAAAAATATAATGTCTGGCCAACCTTTCCAACATCTGATCTATAAAGAAAAGTGAAAAATGATCTTTTCGGGTTGCCTTGTTCAACTTTCTATAATCAATAAACATCCTCCAACCCGTAACCGTCCTAGTAGGGATAAGTTCGTTATTCGCATTCTTGACTACGGTCACACCCCTTTTTTAGACATCACATGGACCGGGCTAACCCATTCGATCACTATCAAAAATAGAATAGATTACTCCAGCGTCTAGTAGCTTAAGCACGTCTTTTTTAATCACTTTCTTCATGTTAGGATTTAGTCTACGTTGGTGCTCTATAGAGGGTTTATGATCATCTTCCAAGAGAATTCTATGCATGCAAATTGATGGGTTGATTCATTTAATGTCGTCCATGGTGTATCCTATAACCTTTTGATGCATCCTAAGTGTTCTAAGCAACTTATCAGTTTTATTTTCATTCAGACATGCATTCACAATTACAGGATAAGTAAAGTTAGGACCAAGAAATTCATACCTTAAAGAGGAAAGGATGAGTTTTAATTCTATCTTTGATGCTTTATTCTCTTCACAAGTAGAATTTTTTGGCTCTAGCATCAATCTTTCAAGCTTTGCATTTTGAAGTGGAGCAGTTGATGTTGATTCTAAGGATTGAGCATACGCAGCTAGCTCGAGGTCTTCATCATTTATTAAACCGTCACTTACCAAACATTTCTCAAGTGGATCAACTGAGTAATGGTTTGCAAGTTGCTCATGTGTACACTTATCAATGACGTCGACCATATAACAAACTTTATCAGTTAAAGGGAGTTTCATAGCGTTGCTTAAATCAAATTCTACCATCTTTCCTCTAATATTTAGGGAGCCTTCCATTTTTAACATCGATTATAGCACCTGCAGTAGCAAGGAAGGGTCTTCCTAATATAATTGGAGTTAGAATCTTTTTCTATTTTCAAAATAACGAAATCAACCGGGATAAAGAACTTACCGACCTGGATAGTACATCTTCAAGTATACCTATCGGATATTTTATCGATCGATCCGCCAATTAGAGTGATATCGTGGTTGGCTTCAAATCACATATGTCAAGCTTCTTACAAATAGACATTGGCATCAAACTTATGCTTGCACCTAAATCACACAAAGCACGGTTAATAGAGACATTACCAATAAATCAAACTTATGCTTGCACCTAAATCACACAAAGCACGGTTAATAGAGACATTACCAATAACACAAGGAATAGAAAATGACACAAAGCACGGTTAATAGAGACATTACCAATAACACAAGGAATAGAAAATAAACCTGGATCCTTAAGTTTAGGAGGCAACTTATTTTGAATGATAGCACTACACTCCTCTGTAAGACCACAATCTCATATTCTTCCAACTTCCTTTTATTAGACAGGATCTCTTTCAAGAACTTAGCATAAGAAGGTATTTGAGAAATAGCCTCAGTGAACGGGATATTGATGTGTAACTTTTTCAAAATTTCTAAAAATTTTCTAAACTGTTTTTCTAACTTAATCTTAGCAAACCTTTAGGGAAAGGGTAGAGGACGCTTGTAGAGAGCAGAAGATACATATTTCTCAACTTTTTCTTCTTTGTGCGTTTGGGTCTCAGTATCCACATCTATCACCTTTTCACTTCTTTCTTC